CATTCGCGGGCCCAAGGACGACGTGGAGAAGGCCAAGGGACAGCTGCTGGAACTTGCCAACGAACGGCAGCTGGCATCCTTCACCGCCGAGGTGCGGGCCAAGCAGCAGCACCACAAGTTCTTGATCGGCAAGAATGGCGCTTCCATTCGCAAGATCCGCGATGCCACGGGCGCACGCATCATCTTCCCGTCGAACGAGGACACGGACAAGGAGGTGATCACCATCATTGGCAAGGAGGATAGTGTGAAGAAGGCCAAGGAGCAGCTGGAGGCGATCATCAAGGAGTGCGACGAGGTCACTGAGGGCGAGGTGGCCGTCGATCCCAAGCACCACAAGCACTTTGTGGCCAAGCGGGGACTCATCCTGCATCGCATAGCGGAGGAAAACGGAGGTGTGATGATCTCCTTCCCCCGCGCCGGCACCAACTCAGACAAGGTGACGCTGAAGGGGGCCAAGGACTGCATCGAGGCGGCCAAGCAGCGGATCGAGGAGATCGTGGCCGACCTCGAGGCTCAGACCACCATTGAGGTGGTCATCCCGCAGCGCCAGCATCGCACGATTATGGGTGCACGCGGCTTCAAGGTGCAGCAGGTGACATCCGAGTTTGATGTTCAAATAAAGTTCCCCGATCGAGATGCCACCGAGCCCGTGGAGGGTCTCACCAATGGCGGAGTGAATGGAGAGGGCGAGGGCCAGGACGGCGAGGCAGGCGAGTCGAGCGCTGTGGATGGAGCAGAGCCGGTGCGGCAGTGTGATGTCATCCGCATCACCGGCCGCATAGACAAGTGCGAGGCCGCAAAGCAGGCGCTGCTCGACCTCATTCCCATCGAGGAAGAGCTGAGTGTTCCTTTCGACCTGCACCGCACCATCATTGGGCCACGCGGCGCCAATGTCCGGCAGTTTATGTCCAAGCACGATGTGCATGTCGAGCTGCCGCCCAGCGAACTCAAGTCGGACATCATCAAGGTCTCGGGCACGCCGGCCCATGTGGCTGAGGCCAAGGAGGCGCTGGAAAAGATGATCGAGGATTTCGAGGCTGATCGGGCCGATCGCGAGCTGCGCTCGTTCGTCCTGCAGCTGGACGTGGACCAGGAGTATCACTCAAAGCTCATTGGTCGCCATGGTGCCGTCATCAACAAGCTGCGTGCTGACCACGACGTCAACATCTCGCTCCCCAAGCGGGACGATCCCAATCAACGCATCATTTCCATCACCGGCTACCAGGCCAAGGCGGAGGCAGCTCGCGATGCCATTCTGGAAATCGTCGGGGATCTCCAGACCCTTTACCGCGAGGTTATCGAAATCGACACGCGCGTCCACTCGCACATCATCGGCCAGCGCGGACGCACTATTCGCAAGATCATTGAAGATTACAAGGTGAGTGTAGGGGCCATCAATGGGAGACCATTAGAAATACCCTAGAAGTACCGTTACCATTCTTACCATATTTGACCTTCAGGTGGATATCAAATTCCCCTCCTCCGACGATGCTCAAAACAATCCCAATGCCGTGACCATCATTGGCAAGGAGGAAGATGTGGAGAACGCCAAGGATGTGCTCCTCAGCATGGCCGAGGACTACGAGCGCGACTACTTGGAGAACTTGCCGCCCTCGCCCCAGCCGCAGACAGTGGGAGCATTCCTCACTGGTGCCGGGGGCAACGCGGCTTCGGGTGCTGGCGGTGGTGGTGGTGGTGGTGCCAACGAGAACGGATTCATCATGAAGGATGCGCCGTGGGAGAAGCAAAAGCAACAAGCCAAGAATCTAACTGCGCCCAACACTCAGTCGCAGGAGGATTTCCCGCACTTTGCTGCGGGCGGGGCTCCAGTCGCGACCACGCCCATCACATCCGTGTGGGGCCCCAAGAACTAACTGGTTCGGGGCAAGCGCGTCCCCAGCAGCAGAAGCAATACTACCCGTTGTGGTGCGTCGGGGACTGGAACTGGAGCGGGCGGAGAGGAGAGGAGAGCAGCGGAACAGCAGAAGTCGTGCGGGCGTCTGGTCTGGTCTGGTCTCGTCTCGTCTCGTTAGTCGAAAACTAGTGTCAAAACGGTATAGGTTGTCTCCTAGGAGCTTTTCTACAACGCAATTTGTGCAGGTTAATTGAAGAAAACAAATGACAAAACAGGAAACTATTTTTGTATAATTTGATACAGAATCATAACACAAGCCCGACCACACACACACACACAAGAACACACACACTCACCCACAATCATAAAATTGCATTTATACAACATAGAATACAAAAATACAAAAAACAGACAGACAGACAGATAGACAAACATCCGACTCAGGCGCCCAAGGTTCTGTTGCCCCATAACCTGCAATGTGTGTTTCGGGGGGCCCCGGCCACTATATGCATATATGTAACACTTAATTGCCACTTTCTTTTATGTAACCATTTTGTTTCATTTTCAACACATAATATTCTATTTAGTTCAAGCCCTAAAGTAAGCAGAAAGCTCAGCAAATGATTTGATTTGTTAATTCAATTGAAAGTGACTAAGCACGGTCAAGAACGAAAATAATTGTAAGCATAAAATGTTAATTATTTACACTCGCCGCTCCTTTTTTGTCTCTTTTCTACATTCTATCTCGTAATTGTTCTGATAATACAATACACAACTCTCGCCTTCCCCCTTCTTTTTTAAAATCGTTGCTTCCCATTTTCTGCAAGCCCGAACTAGTTGTTATATTTTTGTTCGAAAGAGGATGATTTGAACGTTGATTGATTGATTATATTGTAAAAACGTTTTTTACGTTTAGGGCCGGAGTGGAAGTGGGACGAACGACAAACGACGAATAGCTTGAACAACAAAAATATACACTTATTAATTAAATTTACTCTACATATTTTCCACTCGCCTCCCTCCTGCTCCTGCTCCTGGTTCTCCTGTTCCCATAACTCGGCGTTAATGCCTGATACGAACACGAAAAGAACACACAAAACCCCACTCACATTTCAAAATGAATACCAACATTTTAATTTTGTGCAATCTTCTTGATTTATATTAAATTGTTTTCGACCTATGTATGTTTCCCACTTAAATAACTTATGCGAAGCGTGTGCGGTGTGTCCGCGAGAGGAGCACTTTTTAATACCTTGTATCGAGTGTCGGCTGTTTTCTCGACATATGTATACACCCCGTGCATTATTTGACAGTTGAAACACAAAGTATGAGAAAAATTCTAATTTTTTACTTGCTATTCAATAAAACAAAAAACCATATAAAACCAATAAAAAATGTAAACAATCATGTATTTTTAAATCTTTCTTTTCCTTAGTTTTGTTCGTTTCATTCTTTGCTATTTTCTTTTCCGTTTATTTTGGAAAAAAAAACAACACCAAGAAGAACAGACCTGATATTAGAATCCTAAGAATCTAACGTAGAAATAACGTATAAATGTATATATTTTCCTATATTAACGGACGAAAATCAAATGAATCAGAGGAATCGAATGAAATGAATGCAAATGGCCCAGACATTTAGCTGAAAGGCAAAGAACACGATTTTCCAAGCAGTTATTTGTCATTTGAAATAAACAGTTTTAAAAGTTGAGTTGAATTTTTCTATTACATTTCCTTTCTGGAAACAGTTTCGACTAGTGATAAAACTTTTGGAGTATCGATGGCAAACTACAATACATCGACTAGGACATCGATAGTTCTAGTAGATATTTCTAGAAAAAAGAAGTTGTTTTCAACTAAGAATTGATCGCTTACGGTATTTTATAGACTTTTATGGCTATTTCGACGTAATGGTATATTTAATCAATCAACATATGGATATATCCTTATGTTTATCTCTTGGTAGATCTATGAGAAGAATTAACAAACAGTATCGGTATATTTTGAAAATGAGAAGTATATTTCAGTATATTCCTGAAGTCATCGATAACGACCCACGGTCACACTGATTAAGCGTCAAGTGCTTAAAGTTTTTAATAAAAAAGGCTCAAATTAAGAAAACAGGATTAACAAACAGTCATCGCAGCAATGGAGGATCGTAAGTGTGCCACTTTGTTCTCAAACTTTTATCAGTAAGATGCCGTTGCACATTTTTGGTGTGGTGTGGTTCTTGGCTCTTGGTTCTTCTGATTGGGACACCATTGTTTGGGCCACCGCCGCCAATTAGTCGGCGACTTTGACAAAAGTATAGAACTATGATTGAGCCCATTGGAAATTCATGAGTTGGGGCAAACAGGCCTTGGATTTGGCTGTGGCTGTAGCTGAAACTGCCAGGGGCTCCAAGGAAATGCAGGATGAGTCATGTTTCTGTTGGCCTGCAGCGCTGTCACTTGGAGAAAGACTTTCCAGCAGCGACACGCGGAACAGAACTCGTGGGAGTCGTTCCAAATGCCAAAAGAAGAGACGCCGGCGTGTAAACATTTTATTGTATACGTGGCAATGAAATGGGAAATATTCTGTCGTTCCGGAAAAATCAGCGTAGCGTGTGGCAATGGGAGTGGGCGTCGGAGTGGGGGCAGGCGTCGAAAGGTCGGAACTAATTGCAGAAACGCCTCCTCGGATATATTTATATCGTGCTTGCTGGCAGCGGGGCCACTAATCAAGCTGGAGTCTGTTTCAATATTGAACCCCTCGATAATTGACCCATCGCTGCTGCCACTTGTTGATCGATTCAAGCAACAGCACCACTCTGGATGATTGGAACAGAGAGGGGTGGGGGTGTGTAGAGGTTGTGCTGTGGCAACAAACCAGACCTAGCCTCTGCGTGTGTGTATGTGTTGGTGGCAGTGGTTTGTGGCTGCTGTTGCTGTTGTTCCCACTTAGCTTTGTACTCTTTTTCTGCGGCTAGTCTTTCGTGCCGACACGAAACACCACAAGCAGACAAAGCCAGGCCTGGCCTGGCTCCGATGCTACCAATTGTTGATTCGAGCTCAAGAGCTCCGTCTCAGCTCAGTCAATGTTTTGCTGCAGAAGAGTGCGGAACAGCCAGCATAATCCAAAACTAGTTCAATCGCGCGCTGGTCGGGTCGGGGAAAACACCAGAAAACGCTAGCCAGCGTGTATTTATGAGGAGTGGGGCTCAAGATAACTGAAACCTCAGCAGAGAACACAACTGGACGGAGGAAAGCAATAAGAAAATGTGCTTGACGCTTACTTTTGAAATGTGATACACGACACGACACGACTAAATGCTTTGCTTCATCGTGCCACCACTGCCACGTTCGAGATAGAGAAAGTGCTTGTAGGAGATGAAACAGACCACCGCCGATACCGCAGAATGAGCGAGTCCGAGCCCGTTAGCTTGGAGTTCATTGAGGACCCCTACCTGCCGCACCTCGATGAGCTCACCACAACGCCCTCGCTCGATCCGGACCAGGACTCTGCGCTTGGAGCGGACTCGGACTGGTACGAGGAGCCCGAAACCGAGGCCGAAGTATATTTGCGCAACCTCACCCTCGATCAAATCTTTTACGACGTGGACTCGGACTACGCCAACACCCTGGAGCTGCAGGCAGTGGAGACGGAGTTTGTAGGCCCCAAGCTGGCCAATCAAGTGCCCTCGTCATCGATTGCGAAGCGCTTTCGCCTGAGGTTCTTCGCCAGGCGTACAATGCGAGACGTTAAGGTCACGTTCATAGACTTCTCGAAACCGTATCTGGCCAAGATATCGAATAGCGATAACTACAAGCGGTTTCTCAGCATCGGTCAAAGCGGCAGAGGTAATGGGGCGTTTGGCTGGGGCGGGGCTTGGTCTCGGGGGTCTTTGTCTTGCTTCTTTCGCACACTGCCGCCCAACCTATTCCTTCTCTCCCAAACAATCCCGAACCGTGACTAACCTGACTAACTTTTCTGCCTCTCTTCCCCGCTTGCCTTTCACCTGGACAGTTTGTGAGTATAAACTATCCAAAAACGAACTAATCAAACAGAAACTCATGCCTTTCACAATGTATATAAACGAACCAAAATTCGATGCACAGCCTATGACAAAGTCTTTGAGGAGGTGGCTTTCAAAGGAGGTACATAAACACTTCTCGCAGACTACACTTCTATTTGCACATGCCCAGTCAGATCGGAAGCTTAGGTTGATCTCTGAATATTCAAAATAATTAATTCGTTGTGTTCATGAACAGATAACAGCGCCAACCTTTCGGATCCAGCCTCTCCAGCAGCTTCTGTGGCTTCAGCAGAAATTGCCGCCGAGTTTGCTGCGCTCACCACGGAGGAAAAGGAGCAACGACGCGCCGAATGGAGTCAGGTAAAAGGAGAGAGGTGAAGCTGAGGCAGGAGTGTACTTAATACTGATTCCCCATTGCAGGAACTGGCCCGTGTGGAGGAGGAGATCAACACGCTTCGAACTGTTTTGGCCTCGAAGACTCGTCATGCCTCTGATCTCAAACGCAAGCTGGGCATCACCGTCTGGAAGGAGCTCACAGAGGACATGAATCAGGGCGTGAAGAACATCAAAGAGAGCACTGTGTAAGTCTAAGAAGGGAAGAGGACGACAAGAGCCGCCAATTAACCTAAACCGATTTAAAAATTTTAATTTTTAACATTGCTTTTGTTTCGGTACCATGCTAAATGCCAAAACATGTATTTATTTAGTTACCAATCGGTGGAGCAAAGCGTGGGCACTTTTACTAAAGCCGTACACGAGGCACCTCTGTAAGTAATTGTGTTAAAGCCTAAGGCCGACTCGCTTCCGGCTGTGTGGAGTCCCCCACTAACGATGTGTTTCATGCTTCCTTTAACACAATAACATCTCACTCGCCTGTTTGTAACTAAACCCACTCAATTTGTGACTCTGCCTGTAACCGTAATGATATCTGTAATGACTGATCAGTGATCACCCTCTCCACTTCCTTTCTGTTTACTCGTATTCAGGTACCAGCGCACCGAATCGGTGCTGAAGACTACGGGCGAGAAGACCGCTTCGGTGTTCGGGAGCATTACCAGTGGCATTACGTCGAAATTGTCACAAATGAAAAACTCCGAGTCGATGCGTTCTATCGAAGCTTCAGTTGGCTCTGCCTATGAGAACGTTAAAGTAAGCTATGAACACAACAATTTTATGTGCCAACCTCATGCGGTAACTACTATTTTTATATATCTGTCTTTATACATCTCTCATACTCTTTACGCAATCGAATTGGCTCCCTTTCCACACTAACCTAACACTGTTTCGAGGAGTTTTGCATGTCTCTTCTACACGATACGAGTACAGCAGCTCATAGTCACTCACAAACTAAACTTTTACACACTTGGATTGGGACTTCTTCGGGTTGATTTTGCTTGCTTATACAAACATCTCTTTGAGGATTTGCTGCTACATCTTGTTACTACAACTGCTCGGTTTTCTGTTCTCTTGTAGACCAAGGTGACATCCCGCTCGGGGTCGGTTTCCAGTTTCCCAGACGCTATGGATGAGAACAACACATCCTCGGGACTGAACTCACCCACAGACTCACTTACCAAATAGATTCCATGGGAACACCAACAACAAACAGCACGCGTTACAAAATAATAATGGAGAGAAAATATGCTAAAACACACACCATCCACCAACCACTTATCTAACAATTGCGATTGCGATATATTGTGTCTGCGCCTGAATATAACCAGAATTTAACTATTTCTTTCATGTGTGTGTGTGTAGTTCTAGCGCCAAACTGTTTGGCCTGGAAGAGTATACCTACTATTAATATGCATATTTATATCTGTGTGACACTATTGAACTGCATAAATGCTTTCAACTTTAACCGAGTGGAGGAGAACTTGCTGCATTCATATACATACATATACTATACTACCTACCAGAATAAGTGTATGTGTAAAAGACCCAACTAACCCCTTGCATTGAGGATTCGAGGTGAACCTCTTCATTCCCATATTTTCGATTACTCAGTAAACTTTAACAGAAAAACCCTTTAGAAGAAAAAAATATATATATACACATGTATATTTTTGTTTTACATTTTTATTTATTCTCTAGGCTTTTGCTTCCGTGGTTAGGTGGCGAATCGCGTAAGAAGCTAATTAAAATTCGAATAATTATCAGGTCAGAGCTTGAACGCAAAGTAATGAAATAAAACTCGATTGGTAACATTAAGAGAGAACACACACCGTAATGTAAGACACACATGTACGTCTTATTTGTTGCTACTGCTGGTCTAAGATTTGCTATATGTGTATGAAATCTTTAAATAAAAGCAAAATTGTTTGCCCCCATACAAAGCAAACGCCTAAACATTTCTTTCATTTCAAAAACCCCGCCAACTAGTGTGCTGTGATGGCAGCTCTGCCTCATCAGGGCTGCATTATGTCATCAGCTGTTTCGTTGGACAGGGTGGAACGACTCTGAAAAGTTTTTCAGCCAGTTCGGCAGAAAATGACGAATTTTGAATGAAAACAATAACCAAAGAATACGCGTCGTGATGCATAGAACTTGAGTACGGATCGGCTACGTGCGGCTTCAAATTAAAGTGCAATTAATTACATAGTTTAATAGAGTGGAAACTGGTCCCGTCCCCGAAACAGGCCAGGGCATTGTTCTAAATGCCGATTAGCTTCTCTGTACATACATACACATGTACATGCTTAGTCTAGTTAGTCAAATCACTGCGGCGGAAAGATGAACGTCATCTACTTGTTCGTGCTCGTTTGGCTGGCCCTTTTGATATGCAGTGGAGTGTTGTTGTTCTCTCGTGGGTTTCTTCTTGCCCGCGTCTCCAAAACGGAAACTAGTACTTGCCGTCGCCTCTCCACGAACCACAATGATGTGAGTCTTTACGGTTAATCTTTAAATTTCATCCACTCAGACGAGTCTAATGTCGTGTCATTTGCAGGAGTATGTGCTCACGCCCGAGGTTGTGAACGAAATCTTTAAGGATGTCAATGCCTCGTCCAACTTGTGTCTTCCACAAAAGTCAAAAGTCATTATCCTAGTCGTTGATGCGCTTAAATATGAATTTGGCCTTTATAAAAGTAACATCACCGAACCGTTGCCTTATGAGAATAAACTGAGTGCCCTGCAGGAGCTCCTGGACCGCAGTCCGGACCAGTCGCGGCTTATGCGCTTTAAGGCGGACCCACCCACCACCACCCTGCAGCGGCTGAAGGGTCTCACAACCGGCAGCCTGCCCACGTTCATAGATATTGGATCGAACTTTGCGTCGCCCGAGATCAACGAGGACAATGTAATCGATCAGATAGTGAAAAGCGATCTGCCGCTGGTGTTCTTGGGCGACAGTACCTGGACGGATTTGTACCCGCGCCGTTTTAAGCGCGCCTACTCATATCCCAGCTTCGATATATTCGACCTGGATAGCGTTGACAATCAAATAATGAAACACTTGCCCAAGGAGTTGGCTAGCGACGATTGGCAAGTGCTAATTGCCCATTTTCTGGGCGTGGATCATTGCGGACACAAGCACGGACCTCTGCACGAGGAGATGGCTCGCAAGCTAACCGAAATAAATCAGATCATAGGGTAAATACTGAGGACACCATATTCCGGATGGCCGAATAGACGCAAAAGTATCGTTTATATTGCATTTACAGCTCCGTGGTAAATGGCATGGACAACGATACCACGTTGTTGGTGATGGGCGACCATGGCATGACAGCATCCGGGGATCACGGCGGCGACACTGATGACGAAACGAATGCTCTGCTGTTTGCCTACTCCAAGCAGAGCAAGTTCTTTGGCAGCGATTCGGGCTCTGATAGCGAAACACTGCAGCAGGTGAGATAAGACAAGCGCAGACGTGGAGGTAATCTGGCACACGTCACAATGATATGTTAACTGTCCAACTGTGTTCCAGATTGATCTGGTTCCTACACTCGCGGCCATACTGGGCGTGCCCATTCCGTACTCCAACTTGGGGCTGATTAATTTCAACATCGTTCCCGATGTGCCTGTGCCGCACTTGAGCAAGTTCCAAACCCTTCTGCTGCACGCCTGGCAGAACGCTCAGCAAATCTATCGCTACTTCTTCAAGTATGCCATGGAGAACAAACGAACTTTCGACGTTCACGAAATGGACAAGCTGGAAACGGAGTTCATACTGCTCACCCACCGAGTCCAAACCATTTACAATGAGGTCGCCTACAAGTCCTTTGTGCGGGACCTGAACGCCAATTTGCGTGATGTTCTGAGCACATGCCGTGAGATCTGGGTCAAGTTTGAACCGACGCAGATGTCCCAGGGCCTTCTCTTCTGCTTCCTGCCCTTATTCTTTGCATTTCTCCTGATCAATAACTCCCGCCCAGCAGACTTCGCGAAGATGTTCAAGCCCAAGGGAATTTTCTACACGTACCTGCTCAATCTCGCCGCGGGCGTCTTTGGATATCGCTATTACAAGAATTTCTCCTTTAAGTCAGAAGAACACGGCGTGATCTTCTTCACAGCCATCACCAGTACCGTCATATTGGCGTTCTACACCCTGCAGCATTGGACCAACATTGCCAGCAACTGGGCGAATGTCAGACGCTTTGGTCACATGCCCACGCGACTGCTGCTCTTTTCCACCATGGCCGTGTTTTTCTCCAATAGCTTCGTCATTCAGGAGGCGAAGATTTTGTCCTATCTCCTGGGGGCCGTTATTCTTCTGCTATCCTACGAGCTCCTACAGCTCAGTGCCCGCTTCGATTTCAAGAACAAGTTCAAGGCATCCCAGTTCTTGCGCTCTACCGCTCTGAGGCTGATCCTGGCCAGCATATTGGCCATTTGCTTTATACGCTTTGCGTACACGCTTTTCCGCTGTCGCGAGGAGCAGGGCAACTGCACGGACTTTGCCACCAGCAATACCTCGGGATTCTCAATCAAAAAGCCCGGTACGGGAAAAACCTACATACTGGCGGTCGTTATAATTGTGATCTACACGACGCTCACGCGATTGTATCTTCGCTCCTGCGGCAATCTGACGGGGAACTCGCCGAACGTGCTGCTGGCCCGGTATGGACCGACGGTGGCCTCCATTTGCGCTGGCGGCCACGTGCTGCTTGCCAACAGCTCCATCAAGAACATACAACGCACTCACATCGATGCCATGGCCTTGGTGATCTATGGTCTGTTCCTGTTGCAAATCATCGTTCTAAGCTGGGCGCCACTGATGACCTTCGTGCTGCCACCCCGCAACCCCAACATTGTTACCGTCAACGGAAACGGCAGCATTGTACCAGAGATATTCAAAAAAATGAAGCGCATGTATGAGGGCGACGATGCCGAGCGACGCTCCGAAATACCCATTGTCTATGGCCTGGCCACCGTCTACTCCTCCATCACCATTACCTTTGGCGTATTCTTGGCCATGATGATGATTGTTCTGCTGGAGCCGCGTGCCGCCATCGGTCTGGTGGTGTGTGTGGCAGTTGGCGCCATTCTGCTCAGTGTGCAGGGCATCCTACGGTATCGGACTGCCACCAGCTTTGGTGAGTGATTATTTCAGGAAACTTCATTGATTGGATGGGTGGGTCGGTCCCTAAAGCAGTCAATTTTCTTTCTTTCAGAGAGCTGTGTGCAGCCGACGTTTACAGCTTTGGTGGGCTGGTTCCTGCTGGCCCACTTCTGTTTCTTTGCCACCTCGCATCAAACAACGCTGTCGCAGATCGATTGGCGAGCCGCCTTTGTGGGACGCACCAGTGGCATTGGCCAGTCGAACATAGTCTCCGGTGCCTTGGTCATCCTGAACACCTTCTGTGGGCCAATTTTCTTCTTCTGCATGTATGCCCTGTTGAGCACGGGGACCTTTTCGCTCTTCGCGCTTTTCCCAAGTCTCATTCGGAGCTGCAGTAACAGCGGTCGCAGTGGCAGCAAAACTGATGCAGCCGTTGCCATGTCCGATATTGCCAATGAGGCGGTGGGCTTCGATATGACTCGAGGCGAGCTGACTTTGTACGAGTACGAGGATGTCTTTCTCGGCGCCGGCTTCAAGCTGGCCACCCAATTCTTTATGCTGCAGGGTATCAAGGTTGGATCAGATTCTCGTTCTATGAAATGTGGCACTTAATTAAATCTATTCTCTCTCTTCTCTTAGATTTTCTGCGCTATGCTGGCCTGCACCATACATTGCCGGCACCTAATGGTCTGGAAAATCTTTGCCCCGCGATTTATCTACGAGGCCCTGGCCACCTTTGTCAGCCTGCCGGCCCTCATTGTAGGATATGTGCTGCTCCTGCGAATCAATCGCGCAGTGGACACTCTTATAAAGCGCATCAACAAGGCCAAGACGCAATAGGTTCCGCCGCTTTTCGCGTAGCCATTTAATTCTCCCAAATACAATTATTTATTTAGATTGTAATAAACCGATATTAAGGACAACAAAGAGCTTTTGGTGGTCTTGTATGTGTATTTGTAATCGTATTTACTATGTTCTTAAAGCTAAATTTAAAATTATCGTTTCACATTCTCCAAAAGACACAAAAAGTTTAAAATTTATCGCGCATCCACGGATATACGTACAGCGTTTGTAGTAGTTTGTAGTTAGTTATGGCTTACAAAATTAGCACGAGCAAACTTGACAAGAAAATTAAGTACAATTTGTGGTGGTTGGTTTACCACCGATTTGGGTGAAACTGAAAACGAACGTATAAACTATAGACTCGACGACACATACTACGCCTCTGGCTTACAGTTTCTCTTCCTCGGGCTAAGTACGCAAATAAGTAACATTGTGTGTGTTGCTTGCTTATAGAGCATCACCAGCTGACCCTGCCAGGCGATTGAATGCTTCATCTCTGTGGAGAATCCGCGTGAATGCTCTAATCTTTTCGACCTTGCTCGCTCTATCGTGTGAATCACACGTCAGCTCTCTTTGTACATTTTGTTGCCAGGTAGGTCATAGTTGTTGTGGTTGTTGTTTGCTTCTGTCGTGTAATATGCATGTGCAAAAGAGATTCAGGGAGGAACAGGGCAATTTTGAAGTCTACTGGCCATTGAGTACCAACGGCGTGTTAGTG